ATACCCCGATAACTTTTGTGCAACATGGTAATATACACAACAAAGCTGATAACTCACTACAAACATTATAATCACTTTTTGACCCTTGGGATAAAAGTTTATTGAAAACATACCCCCGAAATGTTTGTGTAAATGAAACGGTAACTTATGTATGACAGAACGTGATAACTCACATAGCCCAGATGTGGTAATTTTTGGTCCGAAAGATAGTCATTAGAACAAATCAACATAGGATCTAATTTCGAAGATCTCATTGAGACGATTTTTTTTATGAAGACGGTTTTTCAATCGGGATGACGGTTTGAGCTACAAAACATTTTGAAGTTTGAAAAAAAGAAAGAATCTAGGATGACATCAGCTTTTTGTCTTTTAGTGCATATATGCATCTAATTAAAGAGAGGAGTGTTGTGAAAGAAAAATCCGAACTTATATAATTAGAGTGAAGTAAGGATCGTTCTTGCCTATTGCTAAAATCCGAACGTTTGGTAGTTATAAAAGTCCATAAACGAAAATTGTATTATAAAAAGAACTAACGATCATGGCGATCGAGCATTCATGGGGACGAGCAGTGGAAAGAACGCTCAGGTATATGGGCCGGCCCACGAGGTGCGTGCGTGGGTACTGCTACCCTTTACGGACGCAGAGGACGCCCAAGAGGAGGTCTCGTCCATCGAGGCGTCAGGTTGTAGCTTTAATTTTTAGACATGGTTTCTTAAGTTCTTATAATATTTTTATGAATGATAACCAACCTACCTATCTATTACTTTGAAATCTGGTGTCAACACTCCCTTCGTTCCTAAATATAAGTCTTTTAAAAAAAAACTATTGTGAGTCCACCGAAAATTCATGTGTTTCTGTGTCAATAACAAGGTCCTTGCCCGCGCTAATCTTGCCAAATGTCGTTCAGTGGCTTGTTTTGGAACGAGTCAGCGTCTCTGTAGGCGCACGCACCCAAAATCAAAAACCGCGTCCGCTGACAGTAGAGTGGCACGCAATTGCTGCAATTTAATATTGGCATGGAGAAGGATTAGTGAGCGAATCATCCTCGATCTATATATATATAAATCATCTGATGATGACATATACCACACATACCGGCAGTCCGGCACCAGTAATTGACGCGCCATTCTCATGCAGGAATTGACCAGGAACTACATGATCGATCATCACATATGGCTCGCTATATGTACTGAGAAATCGAACTCAAGATGATGCACACCGGCCGAATACTTGTCAGATCCAGCAACCATGAGGGACCTTCTTCACATCAGCCATCCCCATGGCCATGGGAGGAGCAGCAGCAGATTCTTCGTCGTCGCCGTCGTGTCCCTCACGCTCGTTGCAGCTCTTCTCGCGGCTTTCCACATGCTGACCACGACGAGGATCCCAGCTGATCGGCGGCCGCTTGGTTCTCAGTCTCACACGTCAGCCCGGCGAGGCGAGGGCTGTGACATTTTCCGGGGCGACTGGGTGCCGGACCTGGACGCGCCCTACTACACCAACGACACCTGCCCCCCGGGGATCATCGACGAGCACTACGACTGCATGAGGTTCGGCAGGCCGGACCTGGGCTTCCTCCAGTGGCGGTGGCAGCCCGCCGGCGACGGCTGCGACCTGCCCCGCTTCGACCCCCGCCGCTTCCTGGCCTTGATGAGGGGCAAGACCATCGCCTTCGTCGGGGACTCGCTGGCCAGGAACCACAAGGACTCTCTCATCTGCCTCCTCACCAGAGTTCGTACTCCTTCCAATCTTCACTCTGTCTTGATCTTCTTCCTTTCTCTTTTCATTAATGTAAAACAAATCATAATAATGTAAAAAAGATTTTCCGACCAACACCAAGAATTGCCATGTGAGAAAATATACAATTGTCATGCTCCTGTGGTAATGGATTTGCCAGGCTCTAAAGTGAAATTGCCATGTAAAACCAAAAATTAACAAAAAAATAAAATTGCCACGCTGCACAGAGTATTGCCATTCGGATATTGCAGTCCAAAAGATGTCCACTGGGATTGCTACAAAATCTGACGTACACTGGTTAGTGGCATCCAAAAGAAAAGGCTCTCTTTTTCACTTTCTCCTTCGACTAACTTTACCTATTAAGATATTTATATGGGCAGATAAATCACAGACACTAACCTATTAAGATATTTAGCGGACTAATGCATAGTCTAGTGGTGGAAAGCGGCCGGTGTCTTCCCACCAACTCAGTTGAAGTACTTGTAATTTGGTTTTAGACCAGTTATACTCTAAGAGCCTCTAGAGTCTTTTTTTTAATTAAAAACACCCTATTAAGATATTTATGGCTCCACTGCAATGATACTTAATACTTTCTCCGTTCTTAAATATTTGTCTTTGTAACATGATCATTTAATAACCTCTAGAAAGGAACTAGAGACTTTTTAGTCTCTAGAAAGACTTTTTAGTCTCTAGAAACAAACAGAAAGGGACTTTTTAGGTACTAGAGGCTTTTTAGTTGGGACTAAAAAAAGTCTTAGGACTAGAGAACCAAACACCACCTAATAGTGGTACGTGCATGCATGCAGGTCGCGATGCCTACCATAAGCTCGCCGAGAGAGAAGCACACGGTGTACTACTACAGGGAGTACAACTTCACGGTGGCCAGCTTCTGGGTGCCGTACCTGGTGCGGCACGAGATGATCGAAGACGACGGGCCGATGCACACGGGCCTCTGGAACCTCTACCTGGACGAGCCGGAGGAGGTGTGGGCGACGCATGTGGCGGAGCTCGACTACGTGGTGGTGTCGGCGTCGAGCTGGTTCTACCGCCCGTCCATGCTGTACGAGGCCGGGCAGCTCGTCGGGTGCCACCACTGCCAGCGGCCCAACGTGACGGACCTGACAATGCGGTACGCGCTGCGCATGGCCACGCGGGCCGCGTTGCGGGCGCTCTCCGGCGCCGACGGCCGGTTCCGCGGCACGGTGCTGCTGCGCACCGTCGACCCGTCGCACTATGAGGGCGGGGAGTGGAACAAGGACGGCAACTGCCTTCGGAGGGCGCCGCACCGACGCGGGGAGAAGATGGTCGAGGGCTTCGAGCTCGACTTCCGCGCGCTGCAGGTGGAGGAGTTTGCGGCAGCAGAGAGGGCGGCGGCCGGCGGGGTGAGGGTGATGCTGATGGACACGACGGAGGCGATGATCCTGCGCGCGGACGCGCATCCCAGCAAGTACCGCGCCTGGACGCCCGACCCGCTCATGAAAAACCAGGTGTACAGCGACTGCGTGCACTGGTGCCTTCCGGGGGCTATTGATACATGGAACGACATGCTGCTCCATATGCTGCTCAACGAGTGACTGCACTTCGATGATTATAATTAAATGGTAATAAAACCCATTTGTATTGTGCTTGTACGTTGTACTCCCTCCGTTCGGAATTACTTGTCTCGGATATGGATGTATCTAGAACTAAAATACATCTAGATACATCCATTTCTACGACAAGTAATTCCGAACGGAGGGAGTAACTTACAACCAGAAGAGAGGGAAAACCAACATATGATTGAATGGTTGGAAGGACCCACAGAAATCAAATCATAATTTTTGACGTTTTGATATCTTATAAAGATGAAATATTATTCCAATGGAAGGCTATGTTTCCGTCGATGACGTGGTCTGCAGTGATTCGTTAATATCAAGACCTGTTGGTTTGGTCTTTCATAGATGCTCACAGGGATATGATGTGTGTGCTTTCATAAGATTCAGTGTATGTACTTATTTTTGGGCTTCTATGTTTATACTTTGTTTATTAAGAAAAGTTGCAAACACTAGGCAGAAGTAGAGATGTGGAAAAGGGGGCATCCCAATCACCGCAGCGCATAGCCTTAACTGAAGTTGTAATATTCATCTTTGCCATCAGTTAATTCAGAAAATTAGGAAAATAAATAAACACAGAACGATGAGTCTTGACCCTGAAATTCAGTTGGCAACAAGATCCGTCCTTCTTCCTCGCCGTGGTTTCTTAACTTTCTTCTATGGGTAATACATTAACATCTTTTCAAACATGAACTATGGAGTTAGATATTCAATGGTCTCAATTTTTGTGAAACACATGTAGTTTCTTTCCATAGATTTAAAATTTTTAAGAAAATAAATAAGTGGTGATTTTTTTAATACTAATCATTTTTGCCGGTATGATATAGCAAACCTTTTTTGAAAAACATGAGATGGAACATTTTTGTAGTAACTTGCAAAATATGATCCAATTATTTT